AGCGCGGGGTGCCCGCCGGGGCTCGGCAGCTCTGGGGGCGTCTCTCCAGGGCTGCGGCCGGGCAGGCGGCACAGTGACCGGGGCGCTGCTCCTCTCCGTGGTAGGAGGGAAGATGAGCGAAGGCATCAACTTCTCGGATGACCTGGGCCGGTGAGTGGCGGCCGTGGGGCTGCGTGGGGCTGGCTGCTCAGGGCCTGGTCCCGCTGTGTGTGTGGGGGGCGCCCCTCCCGGGTGGGCGTGCCCTAGGTAAGGAGCTCTGTGCAGGTGTGTGGTGATGGTGGGCATGCCCTACCCCAACATCAAGTCTCCGGAGCTGCAGGAGAAGATGGCCTACCTGGAGCGGACACTGGTGAGTCGGCCCGGGGTTCCCGGTGGCGCCCCGCCCCCTGCCAGCGCCACACTGACCGGCGGTTTGTCCTGCCAGCCTCGGGCGCCGGGCCAGGCCGCGTCGGGCAAGGCGCTGGTGGAGAATCTGTGCATGAAAGCCGTCAACCAGTCCATCGGTGAGCCGCGGCGGGCGGGGCCTGGGGGCCAGGCCTGCTGGGGAGGTCGCTGACGCATGGGCCCGCCCCGCAGGCAGGGCCATCCGGCACCAGCAGGACTTCGCCAGCATCGTGCTCCTGGACCAGCGCTACGCGCGCCCCCAGATCCTGGCGAAGCTGCCCGCGTGGATCCGCGAGCGCCTCGAGGTCAAAGCCACCTTCGGCCCGGCCTTCGCTGCTGTGCGCAAGGTCAGCTGCCCGCCCACGCCCCACGCCCCACACCCCTCCCGTCCCCCAACAAGGGGACCCTGCTGTGCCCAGAGCTGCAGCCCTCATGCCTTTCCTTCTCTCGGCAGTTCCATCGCGAGAAGTTGGGGGCCGCCTAATGGCAGCCCCCCGCTGCGGGCAGCTTGTGAAGGGAGATGCTGCAGACCCGGCTTCTCACTGAACCATAGGCTGCGGGGAGGAGACGGGGGGTCTCCCAGCTCAGCGGGCTGTGGACCTCCCCCTTGTCCGTTTCCAGCCCCCCCCCAGCTCAGCGGGCTGTGGACCTCCCTCTTGTCAGTTTCCAG